AAGTCAATTTTCTGTATATTCTATAACAATTGACTAAAGTGAGTGTCAATTATATAAGCGAACTTTCTGTATTATTTTGATAAAAATTGACTAACGTTAATGTCAGTTATATAAACCAACTCTCCGTATATTCCATAAAAATTGACTAATGTTACTGTCAGTTAAACCAATTTCCTATATATTCTATAAAGAATGACTAATGTCAATATCAATTTCATGAGTCAATTTTCTGTATATTCTATAACAATTGACTAATGTGAGTGTCAATTATATAAGCGAACTTTCTGTTTTTTTTTGATAAAAATTGAATAATGTCACTGTCAATCAAACCAATTTTCTATATATTCTCTAAAAAGTGAGTAATGTCAATATCAATTTCATAAGTCAATTTTCTGTATATTCTATAACAATTGACTAATGTGAACGTCAATTATATAAGCGATCTTTCTGTATTGTTTTAATAAAAATTGACTAACGTTAATGTCAGTTATATAAACCAACTCTCTGTATATTCCATAAAAATTGACTATCAGTTAAACCAATTTCCTATATATTCTATAAAAAGTGACTAATATCAATATCAATTTCAGTATATTCTATAACAATTGACTAATGTGAGTTTCAATTATATAAGCGAACTTTCTGTATTTTTTTGATAAAAATTGACTAATGTCACTGTCAATTAAACCAATTTTCTATATATTCCATAAAAAGTGACTAATGTCAATATCAATTTTCTGTATTTTCTTTAACAATTGACTAACGTCTGTGTCAATTATATAAGCCAACTTTCCAAATATTTTATAAAAAAATACTAAAATATACGTTATGCAAGGAAACACAAAATTACATTGATTTTGTACAGTTCCTTAAGTATTGAATTGTTTCATTAGTAAATAATTCAAAAGATACTAAAGACAACTTTCTTTGCTTGCATATATCCAGATCTAAAACTTTACTAGTTATTATTTTTTTTAAATTGTAAAATAAACATTAGACGTCTGGGAAACGTCATTGAATGTCAAAAGGTTAAGCCAATTTTCTATAAAATTTATGACACATGGCATAAACAAATATTGATATAAGCCAACTTTATGTATATCTTATAAAAATTGACAAATGTCAATGTCAGTTAGAAAAGCCAACTTTCTGTAAATTTAAGTATATTTAAATCAAATTGTAATAAATGTGTAAAAAAAAGTATTTTTTAATATCAATAAAATCATGAATTATATTCTCGAAATATTTATTAGTATGTATAGTTAAAATTTGGATTTTGCAAGTTTAATTTGATTAACTTGTTTCAAAATAAATTCAGTATAATGTACAAGTAATAGACGATGCAGTATGCATAAATGCATAACCATTTTCTTAAGCACTTTGTGAAATGTAAATCATTGTATCCAATTTGCATATTTTACGTATTAAGTGTGTACTAACAATATTATCACACTACTTGAACAAAACAATCAAAAACATAAAATATTTCCATTTTTATAGACGTACATAAATTATTAAATACATTAACCTATATAAGTTTCTCTTTTATTTAATTAATGCAAAATGCAAACTATATTCAAGTACGTATTTATCTTTTATAGTGTTTATATCAAAATCTAATCATTTTTTCTTTATTCAAAGCCAATTTACGTTGACATTTTATAATTTTAATTTCTTGTACAAAATTTAGTTTAAACATAATACATTTTGTAATTTTTATTGTTTAAATTAAACTTATTTCAAATTTCTAGAATAAAATTTTCAAATTTTGTGTACAAAATTTCGTTCAAAATAATAAATTTAATAATTAAATATTTCTAAAAAGAAAATTGTCTTAAAATTATTACATTCTCATGTGTTTTTCATAAGAAAAACGTATCAATTTAGTTCAAATAATTATGGTTTCTCTTTGTTCTAAAACAATCTGAAGAAGTGAAGAAGCAACAATAAAGTAATTGTTTTTTTGTATGTGAATACATTAGTTTATTTCTCATTTCTCATGGAACATTTATCAATTTGATTCAATAAAATTGTTACAACTTTGATGGTTTTTCTCTGTTTTTGAAAATTGTTATAAAGTGATAAAATATAGAAACGTTTTGGTGAATACACTAATTCATGTAGGTAATATAGAAATAAAATAATTCCCTTAGAAAATGTATCAATTTCGTTTCAGTTATTATACTTTTCTTTCTTCTCTGTCAATTACTGAATGTGTGAGAAACTGTGTTTTTGTAAATCCTCTAACTGTTAACTATTAACGAATCGATCAGATATCAATCTTTCATTAAAAGTAAATTTCCAATAATCTACTAATTGTATAAAAAAAATCCAAGACAAACCTAAACACGCATTTAAACATTGAGAAACGTTCTTAAATGTATTAATATAATTACAAAATTGATAAATCCTTTTGACTAAAGGACTAATGACCAATCAATTTATTATTGAATATATTTTAAGCCAATAATTAATTGCTTCTAATGACAAATTAATTAAAAATTTTAACAAATTATAATAAAAGGAGCCCCACGTTAGGCGCCAAAAAAAATAATTCGGTAAAGTTTACCATCTAATTCTTCATTATTTTAATATTTCCATATATTATAGGATGTAATATTAACAAGTACTAAAAAATATATAAATGATTTAAATCTAACTAGTTTTAATCAATAATTGTCTATTTTTGGTAAGTAGAAAAAATTACCCTTAAAATTCTATAATGTCACAAAAAATGTTTCTAAATGATCTAAATCTCTAGTTTCTAATTACTTAGATTAACTAAATAACTAAATTATGATATTCCAATTATATTACTCTAAAAATAATGACGTATGATTGAAACTACGTTCATTTTTAGTATACAAAAAAACACAAATGTTGTTTCTCGTGTTAAATGTGCGTGGATTTTCTTGTATTGTCTACATGTACGCATGCATTTGCAAACAACAAAACTTTCTCGATTTGTGTGTTGAATGTCTGTATGAGATTCGTTCAGGTCACACATTGGGACTTACAGGTATGTTTGTGTAACTACCGGCAGATGAACTGAAGGTATGAGATCTTGGGGCCAAGCCGTAGCCTGGCTTAGGAACGTGCCGGAGAGCGCTTACAACTGCATCGGAATCAAACACAATTAATTAGATTAATTAGACGCGATCGTCGCAGCAATTAGCGATTAAATTACAGATTAGATTACTTAATAAAATCAGGCAAATAAATAAAAAATAAATAAATCAAATAATATAAAAATATACTAGAATAGAGGAGAGAAAAATCGACAGTAACAACAATCATTACAACAACGTAACCTGCGTGTGTCCTTTCGCTTCAAATGAGACATCTACTTTGTTCTTGTTGAGAAGAAGACGTGTTAAGTGTGTGTGTTTGTGTATGAATGGAGTGAATGGATTGATTAACAAAGCAAACGGGAAAACAACATACGAACATTTAAGTACCAAAACTGAGAATTTTTCAAAGAATGAAATTTTTGATTTATTTTAGATGAATTTTCTATGCATTTCTTCGGTTTTGTTGTTTCCCCATATTGCGCTTGAAAACACTTATGGATGGCGTAGGCTGCAACAGTACTTACGTAATCGTTTCTTGCTGGTAACGTGGATGTCTTAAGTCCGTATCCGGGCCTCGGGACGTTTCGGAGCGAAGATACTACTGTATTTTTGTTCGTTTATAATACACAAGACCAAAAAAAAGAGGAGGAAAAAAAAAACAAAAAATCAAAAATAATACAAAAAAAAAAACAAAAATTTGCATGCAAAATTTAAGATAATTAAAAAAATAAATAAAACAAAACGACAACGAAACACAACACACAAACGACGGCGACATTGATATTATTGTTATAAAGATAAATTTATGAAATTTTTACATTTTTTAAAAATTTGAATCCTGAAAATTGTTTAAAATTTATCTTTATAAAACGCATGCTCAATATAAACGATGTGTGTATTCAAGAAAATTAAATAAAATCGACACATGCTCAATTTTGTTCCTCACCTCGGGTTGTTAAACCAATTTGAGAAACCTCTCAGATTACGTTTATTTATTTATTTTTTCTTTCGTATCTTTTTTGTTGTTGTAATTCATATTGAATCTTAGCAAATTCCTGTAAGTTTCTTACCGTTGTAACTAGGAATTTGTCCGATCGAACGTCCCATCGAGGAGCGACAGCTGATGGTTCTGTCGAAGTCGTCCTCGTCGAATGGCTTCGGATGGTCAAGGTTCCTAGACGGACTCGCTCCAACCGGAGACTCGTAGCGAAGACGATAAGTCGGCTCCTTGTTGGCTGATGGCGTTCTGCAAGGATTCAGCGTTTTAAGATGACGTTTCTGATGAAGACGATGATGAAATGTGATTTACCTCGAAGCGTTTCTCGGATCCAAATTGGCGGCCTTCCACTGCTTCAGCTTCTCGCGTTCCTTCACGTCCTTCAGGAACACCTTGCCGATGCCGCTCGCGCATTTCAGCAGCTCCTGCTCTTCCCTCCTCAGCTTCTCATCCATGATCTCCTGAGGAGTTCGCACCTCACCGTCCACGGCGTCCTCCTCATCGGACACAGGGACACCCTTGTATGTATCCGACCAACGCTTTCTCCTCTCTAAACATAAAACATAAACTCTTTACATTAAAAAAAAATACAATATTACACGCTGTAAGACTATATTGCATTGAATTCTACTACAGCGCCATCTGTTTTTAAGTTATTATTAGTACGAATTTTGATTTATAAGTTCAAATCAATAAGTAATGAGTATGAAATGGATTTTTTGATGTTGTTTTACCTGGATCTGTGTAAGGATAAGGCGGTGCTGGGAAATCGTCCCTTTCAATCTTTGGTTTCTCGTTGGGATTCGGCGGTTTGGCGCCCGGGAAATGCGCCAACTCGATGGGCTCCTCGTTGTTCATGTGCGGAGACTTGGGTCTTGGCGTTTCGCTTCTGATCTGATCGACGAGAACAGTCATCCCGGATCTGCTCTGTCTTCCGTACTTTCCGCCAGCTCCTTGGCTTCCCCTCAATGAATTTTGAGCTAAAAAAATAAAAACATAATAAGTCAACAGTCTTATTGGAAAGACCACAGTTTTGTCTTTAATTTGAGTATTCGATGATGTAATTTGCTCATATAGTTATCGAGTAATTAAATAAAACGTGAAGACGTTACAAAAATCAATATTTCTGGAAATTATAATTAGGATTATTTTTTTGTAATTTTAATATATTTATAAAGTTCGAATGAATACGTAAAAATTATTGAACTTTTGTTTAAAAAAAATCGAAAAAATAAAAATTTAGCAAAATTTTACATTAAGTTAAACAAATTGAAAGAGTGATCACTATGAAATACTTAAAAAATACTTGGTAAGTTTTATGTATTAAGTATGGAATATGTGTGATTTACGTCGAATTTGTCGAGTATTAAGTTGCAGATTGAAATGAATAAATATTGAATTTGACTTACATGTTGGTCTATGGAAATGGGGCGACATCGGTTGCTTATCGTACGGATCGATGGGTCTCTTCAGGTACCCTTGGGTGGGCTCCTCGGTTAGGTAACTATAGGTGCAAATTCTTGAAATATCGTCTGCGAGAGTCGCCGACTTGTTGTAATCCCTCAGAATGAGGCCGGGCGACGGAGTGCGGTAACTATAATGCTGCACACGTTCAAAGAACGAATAGAAAAAAATACACACATAAATAAATGAATAATAATAAAAGAAAGATATAAAATATAAGAGAAATATCGTAAAACAGAAATTCGTGCAATCAGCGAAATAAAATAGAACCTCGAAACGACGCGCTTTACATAACCGACGAAACCAGTTCGTCAATCCTCATCATCATCGCGTTTAATTGTTGTTGTCGATTGCGCAAGTTTTTGTCCTCTGTACTTATATGAAAATTCATAATTATATAACCGGCTTTTATCGCTGCACAATGAGACGCTTTGAAACAAACCGAAACGTAATAAAATAATGCTAAAAAGCAGAGGATAACAAATCGAGATAATTGAAGACAAACCGCTCATTGTCGGAGTGGACAACAAATCTCTGCGTGTCCGAGATTAAAGGAGACGCAACTGAGTAATTGATTAATGTAATTTCCAATAACGTTCCATTAATTAAACTCGTTTATGCCACACCGCCACTTTTATGCAAACGGATAAACTTTTGCATACAATCCATCGCTAATTTGCAATTCCAACTGAAACGTATTCAAGTCAATTATGTAACTCGATTTAGGATGTTTCAACAAAACGATATTTGCATTCAGAATTTTACCTTTGTTTGACAATTTTGTTATAATTTTTCTAAAATTTGTTTACAGCAGCAGTTCTCAACATTCGAGCTGCGTTAACGTTTTTAATGGTTATCAAAATGACATCTGTCACTTTACGTCATAAGTGTCATAACTTGTATCTTTTAAACAATTGGGTCAAAGTAAAAAATATCTTGAGTCGGGTGACAAAAATTTTGAAAAACACTGGTTTTTCACATTTTAGGAAACACTGATCTCTGACAAAAAATTTAACTATCATTTAAAAAATGACAAATCTAGTTGGAAAATGCACAGTAATAGTAAAAATGAAATAAAATGTTCAATTCTAGAAAATATTTGATACAAAGCGAGTCATGTCTTCTTACGTATAGTTTTTGTTAATTATTTCTCAATCAATTAAGTAAAAGCACAGAACTATTACTGTGATATTTTTTTTTATCCATTACAGCTATGTAGCGTAAATCTAACCTACATCATCCTAACCTAAAATAAACAAAACATATTTTTGTTTTGATAATGACTTTAAGATGTGACTCATGTCTGGATTGTTTATTTTATGTTTCATTCATTCATAAATAACAACAGTCGATGTGATTAATTTATCAATGAATTATGGAACGGTATTTAGTGGAAGCAAGAAACGCTTGCCGAAAACGCGAACTGAATTCAATTATCTTCTGTTTGACTCGTGAATCATCGCGAATTCATGTCTAGACACACCAGCATTCACGTCTTAAATACTATACGCTTTCTTACAAACTACAAAGAATTTCGTATCAATTGTTAATTACATATTTTTTTAAATTTAAGAATATAAATGTTTTTTTCTATTTATATTCTTTGTGGTGATCAAATAATTGAAAAATCATCAACAAATATAGAACTAATCTGTGTTTTGTACATACGTCTGTCACTACCGTCATTGTTAAAACTTGAGACATTCCTTTTAAACACAAAGTAAATATGTTCACTCAACAGTTACGATGAACAAATCCAATTTATAATTAAAACGAAAAAAATGACATATGTTTTACCTAACAACTCATCACATTTCCAATTCCAGAAAATTGGTTTTTAAATTACGAAAGTTTTCCATGAATTTTCTCGCATAATTCATTCGTTATATAATCTTTATTTTTAAACAGTAATTATTGAAAGACAACTGCAATAAGATAGATCCACTATCTAAATTTAAGTTGTCTTATGTAATGTGGACTTCTAAATTTTTATTGTAGTTATAGTATGATTACAAGATAGTTTTATTATCTTGAAAATCTCGATTGTTAAAGCACTAACAAGATCTATACTTGAGAAACTAATAATAAACAAAAAATGTAAGTTGTTTATACATTAAAATCACCAAATATACTAGAGGGATTTCGAAAATATAAAGTTTTACATTATTTTTTTTCAGAATTTAATATTGATGATTATATTTCATAAAAAGTTTCTTGTAAATGTTGCTATTTTTATTTACAAATTTATCCTTTCTTTGCATTTCACTAAGCAAAAATAGTAAACAGATTGAATTATTGTTTTTTGTACACGTCATAAAAGTGACATTACTATTTGAAATATTTAAGTCATTTTATTTGTATTTTTATGTAATTTAAAGGAAAATTACAGAAAAAACATATTTTTCCTATAATTGATCCTTTTTATATTTTTATTTTCAATATTTTATAGATCAAATACGATAGTAATTATCAAATCACAAATCCATTACTATGCAACTCAATAAACACCTGTGTTTAAACAGTGGAATATGTTGAATAATCCTTAGTCTTTATACGTATGAATTATACAGAGCCGGCTTTAGGTAAGGGCTTAAATACTAAAAATTTGAAGTTTAAAAGATAAAACGAGCGAATAATCAATTAATATGCGTGTAACAGTAACGTTTCTAAAATACTTTACTAAATTTATATAATAGAAACAAAGGCGGTAATTATAGTAAAAAATAATATTAAATAAAAAAAAAGTAAAAAAAATAAACAAACCTTCCGGGACATGCTAGTTGGACTATACAAGGAACCATTCAAGCTAGGGGTGCGGGAACGAATTGAAAACTGCAAAAATTACATGCGAAACTCAAAAATAAAACGAAAAAGAAGGCGAAAATGAGAGAGAAAAAAAATGATATATGTGGTGAAATGAAATTGATTGAAAAAGAGATTTGTGTGTTTTTGTTGTCTTCAAGATGTGTGCGCTTACCTGCATATCGCTGACGCCGGAGCTGCTCATCCTGTCGAAATCTCTTGTCGTGTCCGTGGTGTAGGTGCAGTGGCCGTTTGTCTCGGAAGGACCGTTGAGGATCTGTCCGTTCTCCGTTGGTCCTGGACCGCATCGCGGATGCCAGATGGCACCTCCTTGGAGGTACATTTCTTCGCCATCTCCGAACGGATCGCCGCACTTGGTGCAACGGGCGCAAGTCGGATGGAAATGATGATTATCTCCAGCCTAAAACACACATAAAAAGTTGATTAGTTCAAATCAATCGTTAATTAAAAAATTAGCTTTATTAGTCTTATTTTGTTCATTTAGAAATTAGTTAAAATCAACTAAGAATTAAATTTTTAATTTACTTAAATTAAATGATAATTAGTTCAAAAGAACCGCACATACAATCATTATTTTTTTCATTTGCATCAATTAATTAAAAATAATCTATATTTTAGTGACTAGTAAAAATAGTTCAAATATTTTTTTAATTAGTTCAAATAAACCGATTATGTAATCATTATTTTTCTACTCTCCATCAATTAATTCAAATAAACTAGCAATCGAACTTTTATTAGTCTTTCTAGTATAAATTAGTTCAAATACACCGATCTTGGAATATCTCTATATCAAATTAAAGTGATGATTAATGTAACAGTCATTTAAATGTTAATTATTTATATGATGTGAAAACGCTGACGAAATTATTAATTTACTTTTATCAAAATGAATGCGATTTTGATGGGTCAAAGGTTAGAAATGATAAGAGTATTTAATTGAAATTACGTTTGCAATTAAATGAAAAGTCATAGTGGAAGTAATTATGGAATAAATGCATGAAATACGAATGCAGACAGGTGATTTATTTAACATAAATTTAATGGCGACTTAAAAGAAGTTATGCAACATTTCCTGACATTGCTCGATAACGACCGGATGCGCAAAAAGAAAAACACTTTTTTTCCGGTGGAAAACCTCTTGAAAGATGAATGACTTTTATATATACATTTATTACTCGGGGAAAACGGCGAAATTGCAATTAGACATAGTTTATGGAGTATTGTTAATGGGAAACAGGTGTTTTATTCTGTTGAAAGCGTTTCCAAACGTAATGGTCAAAACGTTACTTATTTTAAGTGTCTCTATTAGTTCATATGAAACAGTCGTATAAAATATCTTAGAATTGACAGGATATATTTAGCAACTGTATCAACTCAATCATTCTAATGTCAAATATCTGTCAATACATAAAATATTTTAAAAAAATCTTCTCTTGCGAATTTTCAAGTAAATATTAGTATAAAGTAGTTTAAATACATCTTATTAGGACTAAAATTAGTTCAAATGGATCAGTCGTATAACATATCTTGGAAATGACACATAACATTTAGCAGCTATGTTAAGTTAAAGTTAATTGATATATTAGATAATTGTAATGTCAAATATTTGTCAATAACTTTAATATTGGTTAGGAAATCAAAATCATTTAAATTAAAATATTTTAAAAATCATCTTTCTTGAGTTACTTGAAAGTAGTTCAACTAGATAATTTTATTAGAACTAAAATTAGTTCAAATGAATCAATCGTATAAAATATATTGTAATTCATAGATATTTAGCAGCTGTATCAACTCAAATTTTATATAATGATTAGTTTATTTAGATCATTTTAATCTCAAATATCAAAATAATTTAAATTAAAATATTTTTAATAACCTTCTGTTTTTTTTCGTATTTTTAAGTAAATATTAATATAAAGTATTTGAAATAGATACATCTTATAAGAACTAAAATTAGTTCTATAAAATATCTTAGAATTGACAGATAACATTTAGCACCAGTTCCAACTCAAATTGTATATAATGATTAGTTCAAATTAATTGATATTTTAGATCATTCTAATGTCAAATATCTGTCAATAACTTTAATATCGGTTAGTAAATTAAAATATTTTTTTAATAATCTTCAGTTTCTTGCGTATTTTGAAGTAAATCTTAGTATAAAGTAGTTCAAATAGATACATCACGTTAGAAATAAAAAAAATATAACATTTATGTATTTGCAATATTTAAGAAATCTTAATCATATGTTAAATTTGTCATTTTCTAATATATTAATCCAATTAGTCTTTACAAAAGCTTTACACCTTTTTCTTAGTTAATCATTAAGAATTTCCAGTGATTCGTAGCAAATTGAGTTTTGAATGTAAAAAAATGTTTAGTTTTACCTGAAGAACTTTTCCGCTGATGAAGCGATTGCAGTAGGCGCACTTCACTCCGAATTGGGTGTGGTAGTCCTTCTCGCAGTACGGTTTACCATCGCGGCCCATGTATTCGCCGTGAAGAACGACATCGCAAGTGCCGCACTTGAAGCACCAGACGTGCCATTGCCTATCCAAAGCCACAAGAGCTTGGCCCTCTTTCAGCTCCTCGCGACACCCGGCGCACTCTGATCCAAAACAAGAACAAAAACAAAACACACAAAAAAATAAGTTAAGAACAAATCCTGAAACGCTCCATTTCCACAGGTAAACGGTGAATGCAAAATCTCGCGATTCGTCAAAGATGATAAGTTTCTCTTTTTTGTCACAAATAAATTTAAAAAAAAATAATAATAAAATTATGTAAAACATATTTAAATTAAAATTACAATAATATTACTTATTACAAACGAAACTGCAAAAAACATACTAACGTTATGACTAAGTGCATACAAGCTAATTCGTTGTAATCAACGTGTCCCCAATAGATGTTCTAGGCCATGTAAATGAGACCATCCACTCATACGCATTGTTCTTCATTTGACGATGATCAACATCATCATAATCATCATCAAAGAAGAAAAAATAAATAGAAACCCTAATTAAATGAATGGACGAACTTCAATTTACGAGTGGGATCCAACCTGACTCATCCGGGGACTTTATTTGGGTCAGACGTTAGGTAATGTACACACAGATCCACGTTACAAATTAATTCGGGTCAAAATCGTTGAACCGAAACAACAAAAAAAAATATAATTATGTAATTTCACTCATTTCTTTTACAATTTGCAAGGTTACAATAATAAACTGAATTCTTACATTAATTCGGTTACATTTGTTTTGAAGGTTATTTACTTGTATTTAGAAAATTTAGAAAAAAATGGTGTTTTTTGTAGACCAAATAAATAATCAAGTGTCCGTGTTGGGTCACATTTTATATTTGTTTTACACTGCTTGTCAAAGTGATGTGACACATTTAATTATTTTTTAGGTTAGATTATTAAGATAACTTAATCTAATTAAATGTACTTAAATTCATTTAGATTAGGTTATGTTGACTAATTCTTAATTAATTTTATAATCATGTGTCAGTCAATCAGGTCAAATTTTATATGTCAAAATGACGTTGTACATTTCAATATTTTTAAGGTTAAGGTAATTTAAAAAAAAATGAATAAACTGAAATTAATTTAGAAACTGAACCAGACGTTTCGAAATAGATTCGATTTATTTGCATAGATGTATTTTTTTCTTCTTTTGTTTAAAAAAAAATGCTTTCAAGTTGCTTCAATTTTAATGGATTGCAAGAAGAACACTGTGTTTACACTGAAGGATAATAGACGTCTCGTCTATAATTAGGTTACATTAAATTTACATTCGTTCCGTTCTTCCGAATACTGAATGCAGTGTATTACGTAGAATTATGTTAATATGTTGGTATTCCCTGAAGTAAAGATATTAAATTTTAGAATTTGTAAAAAAAAAACAATTTTATTAAATTCTTGAGTTAAAATTTATTTGTCAAGTACTGCGTAATGTTAAATGTTTGATAATAAAGAATTGTACTCAATAATTAAAGAATTGCTTGTAGAGTATTGCGTAATAGGAGTGCAGTGTATTACTTTGAATTATGTATTACTCTCGAACGTTTCGGTTCTCGAACAAAATAAATAATAGAAAAAAAGTCTAATTTTCGAACAGAAAACTTTTGTAATATTTAGAAGTAGAATAGTTAAAATCTTATTAAATAATTCTTCTTTTTAATTATATCTGCTTCAATAATTACGTAAACTTAAAAACACTTGCATTTATGAAACAATTAATGTCAAAATTAACGGGACATTAGTTTACCTAATTAATACACTTCTTGTCAGCAAAACAAATTGGAAAATTTCAAATTATTTAACAAAATTAAACTAATTATGTTTATGAAATTAATAAACAAAATTACGTTTTTTTTTTTATTATTTTACAGTTTCTTATATTGTATTAAGTAATATTAAAGTAGAATTAAGTTAAAATTGAACATTTACACTATTTATATACAAATTATGTACATTTTTTTGACGAATTCGTTGAAAATTTTAGCATAAGAAATTTACTACTAACATAATACAAGACATAGAAAAAATACATGCAAGTATACATACCATTCCTTTTGGGAGGCGTCACTTTCTTATCTGTTAATAAATATGATGGTTATTAATATTATTGCGTATTAATCGTGTGCCATGAAAGAAAAAGAGAGTTACGTGAAATTTTGTGAATCATTCGTTCGTAGAGTCCAAATGTTAATATTTTTTTTGTTATAAATATTGCAAATTCGAACAGTCTCATTCCTTGAATTAATTTTGTTTCAGTCATGATATTTGTTTAATGAATAATTTAGAAATTAGTTGAATAGTTTTTTTTTAGGTTAAAAATGTTTTGCTTTTAGTGATTTTTCATGTTTATAAGTTTATTTGATGATTTTGAAAAGAAAAATACTATAATAAAGTTGAAAATCTGAGATTTTTTTGATTGTATAATGATATTGATTGTATAATAATAGTTTTTTTAATTTATATTTTCTTTGAATAATAATTTCAATGATTATAAATTGATTTTATGCTACTTATTATTTCAAAAAAACACAAATAGATGGAGACACTTGTGTTTCGATTTAAGAACATTCTTGTTGAAGTTATAATTTCAGAAAATATTAAATTAAATAAATTAAAATTTACATAAAAAAGAAACATTTTTATATAATTATATAGAAAAATAGATATAATTACATTTAATGTATTCAGGTTCTTAATTATTTCCTTAATTATATTAAGTTGGTACAATTCCAAATGTCAATTAAAAAACAATGACATAACCTTAAATTAGAGTAGCAAATATATTTGACAGATGTCATATTAGTTAATAATTATATGAATTGATATAAAGTAAAGTAAGATTTTACAATGATTTAAGAAATATTATTTCAATACACTCTAAAGAAAAGTCAGTACAGTTGAATGTAAATTATATTTTACTGCAAGAACTTTCAAAATTGTGATATATTTTTAGATACAATTCAAAGTGTATCCTAATTTTTCAATAAGTTTTATGAGAAAAATACTAAATATTTCTCACTTAGCCTAATTCTTTAAATGTAACTAAAAAATCTTCATTTTTTTTTAAATATATTAATAAAACACAAGATTTTGCAAAGACAAAATTTGTTAATTCATTTATTAACTATGCAATAAAGTTTATTATTTGTATGTTTTTTCCAAACGTTTATTTGAGTACAATGAAATGCACTTTAAAACCATAAAAAAAAACAAGTGACAAGGCAAAAGAATTACTGTTATTGTTATCCTTGATGTTATTATTAGAATTTTCCATCGTATAAGTCATAAACTAACGAGTTAAGTATTCATGCCTTCTCAGAACTTTGAAATGGTTGAATTCGTATTAGTTTTTATGAAAAACAAAAGAAAAATAAGTAAATTCGAAAAATTTTTTTTTTTAATAAATTTTATTTATTAATATGAATAAATGCAATTTTTATTAAATGATTTTTATTACTAGTTATGTGAACGTTAAATATTTCCCGAATTTTGTTAAAAAGTTAAATTTTTGTTTTATTAAATGATGTTTCCTATAATTATGTGCATTGTAGAGATCATCTAAGTTCTTGTTAAATGATCTTTAAGTGCATGTTAGATTTTCCTTGATTATACGTACTTTGAATTTTGTTGTTGTTGTTGTTAAACAAAAAGAGATCAATAAATTTATTAAGCTTTGGTGCATGAATATATTGAAATTTTAGGAAAGCGAAATAAAATCTGCAGATTATATAAAAGAAGCCAAAGAAAAACAACTTCAAGCAAAACATTTCAAACCAATCAATGTAAAAGTGAGATGAGAGGAAAACTGTGCTCTTAGATAGTATTTAGCGTGTAGTGAAGATTGAAATGACTGTGCATTAGGTGAGCACTACTTCCTTGCCAAAACTACCGAAGACTCTTGAGAAATTGCGTAAATTATATGTATATATATAAAAAAAAGGGAATGAAACGTTCTCGCTAAAACTTGTAATTATGTGAAGTAGATGATTCGTTTCCTCGATAATTACGAGCGGACGTATAAATAATCAATAAAAATAAAGCTGCAAATCCGTGCAATTTGTCTTCTTACCGTTTGGGTTGTTGGTGATGGGGCTGGTAGCAGCCGGAGTCGAACCTTTCCTCACAGGTATATGCATGCATTTCTCGCAGACCACCTCCTTTCCATTGTAGGTGACTTTTTCACCAGACGGGAACGGCTGTCTGCATCTGGCGCACGTGAAACACTTCTGATGGTAGGTCTTTCCTAAGGCAGAGACGACCTGAAAACAACAGATTCATACAATTACCTACGATTCGCATTTAAAGTAATGATGATGGTGATGATATGTATGTAGAAGTTAATTCGTTCGACATTTCGAAAGTAGACAAAGACTTAAGTCTGTAATTTTGTTGAAATACAAGTAAATAATACTACTGTAATCATGAAATATAAACAAGTTTCTTTTATAGTTTCGAAAATCTACATTTTAGGGAATTCAAAGTAATGATAATAGTGATTATGTTATGTATGGAAAAGTTAATAGGTTTGACATTTTGAAGGTGCACAAAGTCTGTAATTTTGATGAAAATAATACTGCAGTATTCATTTTTTTTTTGTAGTAGTCGAATTATTATGTAAAATTTTGAAAGTCTACATTTTACGGAAAACAAAGAAATTGTATTATGTATGTAAAAGTTGATAGGTTTGATATTTCGAATATAGACAAAGATTTAGGACTGTCATTTCGATATAATACAAGTAAATAATATTGTAATAATCATGAAATATAAACAAGTTTTTGTTGGTATCAAATAATTATGTAATATTTTGAAAATCAAGGTTTTAGAGAAAACAAAGTAATGTTGATGGTGATTGTATGTAAAAGTTAATAAGTTTGACATTTCGAAGGTAGACAGTCTGTAATTTTGATAAAAATAATACTGCATTAATCATAATATAAAAACGTTTTTGTAGTAGCCGAATTATTATGTAAAATTTCGAAAATCTACATTTTAGATGATAAAAAAAATATTTCAGAACTGAAATTAACAAAATAAATAATTATGCTTCATTTTCAGAGAATTGCTATATAGTTAATAGAAATAATTGAATTTTAAAAAAAAGTTTTATGTATAAAAATCACATATATATATTATTAAGTTGGTAAAATTTCAAATATCAATTCAATTGATTGCAAATTTGAAACGTGGTCCATACTAGACAGCTGTCAATAAAAATAAATTGACATAACTTTAAATTAGAGTAGAAATTATATTTGACAGACGTCATAATAGCAGTTACTATGTGTCAATTATTTGAATTGATAAAAGTAAGGTATGATTTTACAATGATTTAAGAAATATAATTTCAATGTACTCAGAAGAAAAGTCAGGTCAGAACTTTGAAAATTATGTTAGTTTAGATACAATTCAAAGTATATACTAATTTCCAATAATTTTTATGTAAAAAAATACTAAATATTTCTCACTTAGCCTACTTTTTTTTGAGTTTTATCAAAGAATATTTTTAAATGTAACTAAAAATTATTCTTTTTTTTAATATTATTAATATATTAATATTAGACAAATTATTAAATATTTATAATTGAATAAGTTTTATGAAATAAATTTCTTCATTTCTTCGATTTTTTTATATCAGTTAAGCAGAAACATTTTGGTCGATAGACTTTTAGTCGAAAAGACTATTTTTTTATATTGTTGTAATAAAATAGAAAGATTAAAAAATATATATTCACGCTTGTTATTAACAGAATTACGTGTTGAATATCAATAAACGTTATGTAATGCAATCTTCAGCATTAAGAAAAGATAGATCAAATTAGGTGGCATTGGATGGATGAGTCGACGGATTACCGTCTTTTGTTCTTCGGATACTGAATGTATACTTAAAACCTATACACGTATATCAAATATACACTTGCCTCTCCTTCGACGTAGTCGCCGCAGGTGGCGCATTTGCTTCCAAAGTTCTTCTGGTAATCGGCCGTGCAGTAATAAGCACCGTCTTTGGAGAAGAAGCCGCCTTGGGCCAACGAATTGTTGCAGATCGTGCACTTGAAGCATTCCGTGTGGAAGTACTTGTCCTGCACACGGAGCACCTCGCCGGAGCACTTCTTCTTGCACGCCTGGCACAGAGTTTTACCTACAAACAACAAGAAACAAAAAATCAATAAAAAAAATCACACAAAAACATGTAATATTACACCAACAAAAATATATAAGATTATAGACAAAATCAACGTTAGATCATCTCGTCTCAAGGTTATCACAATGCACAGTTCTTCAAATTTGCGGTGGTTGCGTAACGTGGGCGGCTTATCCTTATCTACTCTAGTTGGCACAAAAAAACGCGGTTTAAAGATAACAAAAACCAGTAATAATCGTCGATACAGGAACTACAAACAAACCGCTGTTTCCACATTTAATTATAATAATTTTGTGCCAATTGATTTAAAGGAAACAACAATAATTTAACTTTTTGCGGTTTTTATTGAACAACAACAGAAATAAAACAAAAATAATAATTATTTATTTCTCCTCTTCACTTTGAAACGTCGTACGCAATGAAAATATATTGACGTAAATCTATAAAGTTGGTACAAATCCAAGTGTCAATTCAATTGAGTTCAAATTTAAAACATTTGATCACAGTTGGTAAGAGAGTACGTTCATATTGACAGCTGTCAATTAAAAACTGACTTAACCTTAAAATAGAGTAGTCTTTATATTTGACAGATGTCAGATTAATTTAACACAAGTTTGTTTAACTGTGATAAATAAAATTAACTGACTGTCTTCATAACTGTCATATTAATGCTGACAGACAACTGTCAATTAAAAACTGATTTAACCTTAGTAATAGTGTTTATATTTGACAGATGTCAGATTAGTTTAACACAAGTTTTTTAACTATGATAAATAAAATTAACTGACTGTCTTCATAACTGTCAGATTAAACCTGACAGACAGTTGTCAATTAACCTTAAAAATGAGTATTTTTTATATTTGATAGATGTCAGATTAGTTGATACGTGTCAATTATTTGAATTGATATATAGTAAGATTTAAGAAATACAATTTCAATGCAATCAACAGAAAAGTCAGATAGTTTGATACAATTTTTAGATACATTTCAAAGTGTATCCTTAATTTCCAACCTGTTACGTTCAGTTACTTAAATTTCAACGACAGATGTCGCTGTCCGCTTGTACTGTTACACTAATAATAATTCCGCTTTTTATATGTAATTATTATACAGTTATATAAATACTTTAACCTTACTACGTACATTTTGCAAAAAAAATCCATGTTACATTGTGCCGTTTACAAAAGCAAATATCCACTTGTTCTTATGTAAAGCAAACTCGAGTTGTGGTTTTGTTGTCTTTTTAGAGTGTGCTGAGGATAAATGCATTGTTAAATATAAAATAAAAAAAAATAGTAGATAAAGTAAACTTTCCATCTGTACCCAATATTTTCAATCTAATGACTTCGGAAAGTGCATGTTATTATTCCTATTAGTAAATCAATTTGGGTACGTTCGTAATGAGTGGGTAGAGCGAAGAGAATGAAGACGTACTTTCTCGAAAAACGGACAACGGGAATGGAATGATTGATCAAGGCTTCCCCGGCTGCTGCGGTGAATATAATCTGAGACCAGAAAAATCCGGCTCCGGTTTCCTCTATAATCTCACTTTGTGGTGCACTACGAAAAGATAAATAACACTTGGGTTCTAATAATCACTGGTAGGTTGAGAAGTATACATCATAGGTATATTCATCAATCTTGTGATACGCTTCAATTTTAAAGACGGCAATGATCAATCTTGTTTCTGTAATGCATAGAATTTATATTATATGATCATATTTAAAACTAATTCGCTGTTATATAAATTATTATATTACGTAGAACAAAAACAAATATTTGTAACCTCTTTAGTTTATTTCTTTACTGTTGACAATATTGTAAACTCACAAAAGTTAAGCAAGATGGGTCACATGCATCCATAGAGTGGGTGATAAAATTATACTTTTCCTGCTTATAATACACAGATACGTTGTCGATTATGAATTAGAAATGAAACTTCCTAACAAATATTTTAAAAAACATAAAATTAATAATTGTGCAAAATTAATTGAAAGGAAATAATTTAATTATCAGTACAATATCGTACAATTGGCTTAGATAATAAGTTTTTATCAATTTTGAGATAAAATTCGATGTTCCAGACTACATGACTGTCAAATTGCAAGGGTCATAACCTTAGCAGAAATAAATATCGATCAAATAAAATGGTAACGTTTCTTTTATGACAGCTTTTGTAACTGATGTTTTTATTTATGATTAATAAAAAAACTGACAGTCTTCATAACTGTCAAAATGAATGACATATTTTTAATAAAAACAAGTCAAAAAAAGTGTTAAAACAGAATAGTAACGTTTCTTTTATGACACTTTATAAAAGTGACATTGAAGGCATTGATGAAGTCTTACTAATTCCATTAAGTACACACGTGGAAGACCTATAATATTATATAATGCAATGTAACGAATAATGCAAATATGAAAATATACCTAAATTTACACTTTTCATATAAAATTCTAAATTATTTGTATAATTTTATAATTAATAAAAAAAAATATGTAAGTTTGTTTTTCCTCTTTTGTAAGTTGTGAAAATTACTAAAATACGAAACAAAATAGAACAGTTTTGTAAGTATCTGGTGTCTGGTGGTATAATATGAAACAGATTTTTGCGGCGGCCGGTTTTTATTTTTAGCGGCGAATTCCTCTGGGAAAAGCAAGAAAGTAAGAACGAGGGAAGAACAAGAACGGAGCGCAGGAGCGGTGCTGCTCGTGCCTCCTTCACCTCCTCTTCCTCAACGGCGTGCTAAAAATGATTGTGCGACCGTTCGCTCCTTTCGAGAGAGGCCGATAATTGACTGGAAGCAGTCATAACAGAGTGGCGAAAAAATAAAAATATACATAAAGAACGCGGATTGCTTCACACATACACACACAAAATATGTGGCTCCTGCATTCCATCTTCTCGACTTTGGAAGCAGATGTTTTAACATACAATGCTGCATCCGCACTGGGCGTGATACGAGACACGAATGTCTGTCAGACGCACCAACTGTTATTGGTTGTCATGGAGATCGAAAGTGATCTGACGTTTCTTCGTCTTCTTCGATTTGGTTAGTATCTTGATCTGACAGTTGCTGTTGCAATATTACACATTAAAACATAACCATACCAACTTAAAGAAATATTTATCACTATAATTGGTTAATGTCAAATGTCATTCAATTAGCTTAAGTTGGCTAAGGTATGACTAAAAATGTTCAGATATATGCTCGTTTTGTTCATCATTAACAAAGTCTAAGGTATGATATGATTACCAACTGCTATTATGTAATTCAACCTCTAATGATCAGCATTACAATACATTTCCAAGTACTTGTAAAGTACCGCATAATGAATTAGATTCCCATATTGTTACCTAATTGCAGAGTTTATTAGTTTATCAACTAGTATTTACCAATTTAAATTACACTAAACTAGTTCTGAATTTCTACAACATTTTGATCTCGCAGAGGCATGACCTTTTGTAATATCAACTTGACAAATCTTTTCAAAACGTCAACAAATTGACAAATAAATATGTGCTTGTCAAGTATCGAGTTTTTTTTTTATATAAGAAGTCTTTAAGAAATAGGCAAGTACTTGTCAAGTATCGATTTTTTATTAATAATATTTGTGAATGTGAAATAGGCGTATTATATTATATAGATTTTAAAATGAATAAAGCAACGAATCTTAATATTACGAAGAAGATGTAATAAGTTTATATAATAATTTATCTTTTAAAGAAACCAAATGAAGTTTAATGTTCCGTAATTGTTGTGTACGCTCATTATTTGCAATTATTTTGCCTTGTAATTAAACGCTTTCAATGGGGCGCATGTTGAAATATGAGCAATTAAAATTAATTATTCAATTAATGTTTAATGTTCGCTGCATTCATAGTAAATCTTCACGAATCGTCTCTAAAGAAAAATGCTTACGTTTCACGCCGATTGGCGTTTCCTCCAAATAAGCGTAAGAGTATTTCATGCAACATGGAAAATTATTATCTAATTAAAACGTATTTATTATATATAAATAAAGTTTTTTAATTGAATAAATTCATTATAAATTTCACGATTATAAATTAAAATAGTCTTTATAAAGGGTGTCCCAAAATTAACGCAAGATTTGAATTAAATAGAAAACACAGTTTTTAGTCTTCAGATTGTGTTTTTTTTTTGGGGTTGCTGCACAAATGGCGGCAAATCAAATCTTGCGTTAATTTTGGGACACCCTTTATTATTTAACTATAATAATATAGATCAGTGTTTCCCAAATTTATGTATTAAAGACATGAAATTTAACTTTATTGTTGCAAAAAAAATTTCTTAAGTATACTTTTACTAAAAAACAACTTTTAATTGAAATTTACTATCTTACTTTATTATTAGTGTAGAAAATTAACCAACAAAAATCTGAACATTTTGATTTACATTTAGCATAAAATAAAGTTTGACTTAATTAACAGTTCCCAAAAATTTTAAAATTAAACATACAAACAAAAATTGGGTCGGAAATACACGTCACAATAGTAGTTACTGCGATCTTATTTGTAAATTAGAACATTAAAACCTTGAATTGTTGTGTTGTTGTTTTTTGAACAGTTAATGATAAAACGGGTCTATTGACATTGTAATTAACATGGAAACTATATATACATGTATTGCGAAACAGCTACACACAATTATGTCACGTTGCTTGGAAACCAAATAATAATCCTACACGGGTTGCGTCACGTTTTATCTCTAAATAATTTAGCCTTGCCGCTGGAATTCGTAAAAATTACAATATTCAATGTTATATTTGTTTAGTTCTTAATTTATAGTTTTTAAGTTTGAGTCACTAATGTATAGATGATTTAGTATTATATACTTGATTCTCATCATATTATTTGCGTTTACTTATGTATAGTGTTAATAATTTTAAAAAGAATAAGTAAGGTTAGAGTTGTACTCAATACTAGTTTAACGCATCCTTTTTTCATGAAAATTTTTCAGATTCAGTTTAATATATTTAGTTTATAATGATGATTTATACATCAGGAAATGTTATAAAAATGAATAGAATTTAAATTTTATAATAAATGATTTAAGGTCTATTCTCAATGTGTGGGTCGCGCCCTAGGGGGTCGCGTAAAATATTTGGAGGGTCGAAAAAAAATTAATGACAGATCGGGGGCTCGCAGAAACTTTTTATATCTAAAAGGGGTCGCAAAAACTTTTTATGTCCAAAAAGGGTCGCGGACCAAAAAGTTTAAGAATCACTGGTCTACTATTCATAGTTTGAATTTTAGATGCATAATATTTTTATTTTTTGTTTAATTGAAACGAATATTATTTCACATATAATTTACTATAAAAGTCTTATGTTTGACGATACTAAAATTAGGTTAGGTTGCATTAAACTGAAACCAGGTTAAACTAAAATTAGGTTAGGTTACACTAAACTGGTTTCAGTTTCGTCAAACATAAGACTTCGAACTAGTTACGGGCATAGTTTTATACTAAAATTAGGTTAGGTTAGATTAGTTTATTATAGTTTATAAACAACAAAACATCTACAATCTTTGAACTTGAACTAGTTACGAACATAGACTAATGTTTGACAATACTAAAATTAGGTTATGTTAAATTAGGTTATACTAGCTTATACACATCTATAATCTTCGAACTAACATAGTTACGAGCATAGTCTTATGTTTGACAAGTTTGTCAATACTAAAATTATGTTAGATTAAGATTCTAGTTTTATATGCAACAAAACATCTATAATCTTCGTACTAGTTACGGCCATAGTATAGTAAAATTTGGTTAAATTAAGTAATTATAGTTTATACGCAAATGAAACATTTACAATCATGCAAAATTTAATATATTAACATATTTCATTTATAAATCATTCTGTAATATTAAATTTGTAGCTAAGTATAATTTTTATAAAAAAAAATATTATAAAATATGAAATTGCAAGCACGAAATCGCGTATCTAAGGTGTAAGGATTATATACAAATAAGCCGTGTCTTATCTCTTGATTACATATTATATATATTTTGTGCGGATAACCGTAAAAATTTCGAGCCGCATTATGATCATCATCTTTCGCTGTCCGCGCGCATAAAGGAAATTCCATTTACGTAACGCTTTTTCAATTTGTTCGGCCTTACATAAGGCGCGGCCAAGAAGAAACCTCTCTTTTCTTCGCATCTTTTGTCGGCCTTTCCTCCATCCAGCCTTTCCACACGCTCTTCATTTTTTTTTCGTCGCCACGTGCAACCGAGTATGACCAGATTTTTAACGCTCCACTGGACGACGTCCCCATGGAAACAGTTACCAATGATTTCGATTGTTTCCGATCGAATTGCGTAACCAGAATATTATTAATTGGATTGCTGTTATGTACATGTGGTTACGTATATATAGAAGCATATATGTATTTGTATATATATATGTATAGGATCGTTTGTGTTGAACACATGTGTGCAGCATCGCGTTTGCGGTTTTAGCATACAAAGATGCATTTAAATCTACCACAGCCTCCGGATGTCAACGACACACATGTTTATGTAAATTATTTGTTTATGCGCAAAGTGTATGTTCAGACTCTCTTAGCTGTTTACAGCCTATCTGGATGGATGATCTCTTCCATTCCTGGACTTACCCTTCTTGTTCGAATCGCTGCTATCCAAACTGTTGACGGCATTTTTCTCCGCCACCTGTTTCGTAGTCGTCTCGCTGTTGTTTTGCAATTGTTGTTGCTGCTGCTGCTGTTGTTGCTCGGACAGAATCAGCTGTTGGGTTGCAGCTTTTCCGCTGTCCAGTTTATCCAGCTTTTTGTTCTTTTTGCTCTTGAAACTTTTAAACATTTTGGCTGGCTTCTTTCTGTTTTCCCTGTGTCGCTCCTACTTCACCATATAACTTTCACCTTCGTTGAACCTGACGCAAGTGCAGAAGAAGGCTTTGAATTTCGGATGTCGCGTTGTCTAAGGCAACTGTATTTATTCAAGTTTCATTTTTTTTAATTATGCAATGGATTTCACTTGGCTGGCACATATATTTTTATAATATAAATTTCTGTTCAATAATGTTTTTTTTTAATAAAAAATACATTTATCCGAAATATCTTACAAATAAAATATTGAATTTATTTTTATTTAATATTCTTACTACTTAATTGATGTATTTAAAAATAGTTGGTCGTTTTTCCGAATATTAAGCTCATTTGTATAAGAATTATTATCACAAAGTTTCATTCTTTATTATTAAATTAGTAAAATTTTGTTCTTTTTCAATCTTCACTTTAGCACTTTAATACGATGGTCATTTATCCGAAATATCCTTTAGTTTACATTATTTAATTATTATTTATGAATCTTTTTATTAAATTTAGATTTTGTTAATTCTAAATATTCTTACTAATTTATTGATTTATTAACAAAAAAAAATGGTCATTTATCCGAATATTAAGCTAATTTGTGTAAAATTATTATTGCAAACTTTCATTATTTATTATTAAATTAGTAAAATTTTGTTCTTTTTCTATCATCACTTAAGCACTTTAATACGATGGACATTTATCCGAATATTAAGTTAGGTTTGTATAATTACTTTTGTAACATTTTATCATCTATTTACAATTATAGTTCTTCATTCTTCATTTTCCTTTAATAGGGCGTTCATTTATCAGAAAATTAAGCTACACCTATACAATTATAACATTTTATAATAATTCATTTAATATGAATTTAACAGAAAGATCGTTTTGTTTTGCATTACATACTTAATTTATCGCTTGAATAGGTTGGTCATTTATCCGAATATGTTGTTAGATGTGTATAAACATTATTGTAACATTTTATCATCTATTTATAAATATAGTGTATTTGTAATCATTTTCCTTTGATAGGACGGTCGGTTTATCCGAAAATTATAATAATACATTAATAATCTATCTAATTTGTCTCTCTCTTAATCCGCAGTTTATACCTTTAAGAGTTGATTGGTCATTTATCCGAATAATCAATTACTTATAATATCTATAATCATTCTAATTTTAATCTTCAATTTAAAGATTTGATAATTAACAGAAAAATCGCATTGTTTTGTTTCCTTAATTGGATATTTGTCCGAAAATATAAATAAAAATTAGATATGAATAACCTATTGAATATTTCTTACAGAAAACTTCAGATTAGAAAATTGATAAATCGGACATTTATCAGAAAAAAGTTGCCTTAAATTAGATATGAATAAACTATTGAATATTTCTCACAGAAAACTTCAGCTTAGAAAATTCATAAATCGGAGATTTATCAGAAAAAAAGTTTGCTTTAAAAAAAATTGTAATCTAAAATTGAATAAACTTGTTTGTATACATATAGTTTATGCCAAGAAGTTAGCAAAGGTTATAAATATTATGATTCCTTGAACTACTGAAGTTACACACGGTAAAAAAAGGGCGTCGAGCCAAACATCCGTCAAGGGCGTCGAAAACCTTATTACGGATCTGCTCATGGCAACATGACAGAATTGATCACCACTATTATTATTTCAACAGTTCTATTGTTTTCCAATGCAAATATGATTTAAAATATTTTTACAAAAGTTAAGCAATACGCATTGAGAAAACTACTTGAATTGGTGATCCTACAGTCTTAGATCACCAATTCAAATAAGTTAAAATCAATGTCAAATAATTATATATTAGATAAGTTCTTGTTAACTAATGCAATTCAATAAATATTCCAAAAGTTAAGCAATGTGTGTTGAGAAAACTACTTGAATTGGTGATCGAAGACTTTAGAAGTTAAAAACGTTACTTGTCAAATAATTATTTATTGGATAAGTTATTGTTAAAAACGTCAACTTATAATAAATAAAAGTTTTCCAAAAGTTAAGCAATGTGCGTTAAGGCAACTACTTGAATGGTGATCAAAGACTATATAAGATAAAATCGTTACTTGTCAAATACTTATGTAATGGATAAGTTATTATTAAAAATGTCAACTTATAATAAATAAAAGTATTCCAAAAGATAAGCAATGTGCGTTTAGGAAACTACTTGAATTGGTGATCAAAGATTATAGAAGTTAAACTCGTTACTTGTCAAGTACTTATGTATTGCATAAGATATTGTTAACTACGTCAACTTATAATAAAAACATGATAAAATAGAGCAAAAATGTTAATAAAAGGCTTATTTTATTGTATGAAATAAAGGTGACTGGAAAGTTATATGGAAAGAAAATGTGTGCCATTACTTTCTGAGCAAAAATATGTATGTGAGTGAGTTCAGTGCTAAAAATACCTGCGGAATGACTCAGATGTTATGCAAGACACATAAAGTAAATAATGTGTCTTGTCTGATTTGCAATGTCTTAGTAATAAACCTTATTTGCGCGTAATAATATTCCCATAATCAAGCATTTATAGATCGTTCATTTGTAACGTGTATTTTCGGTTGATCTAATTTTAGTGTGATTTTAAAATCAATAAATTATTGCCAAAGAATAATTTCGTTATGATGATTGAATTTCTTTTTTGTGCAATTTTTATGAAATCAAAGCTGCAAAGTTTCGAAAGATCTGATGGTTATTTTAGTGGGTCATAGAAGAGTCCAGATGCGCGAAAATTGATCAATTACCTAAACAACAGACTTTTGTAATAACGTGCAATTTTTCTGTTTGTGTGTGTGTGTGTGTTTATCCTTTCGGCTTAAAATAGAGCCACGTCATCATGCAGATATCGGTCCGAGTCAATGCCAAAGAAACCGTGGTACGCGCAAGGTGCAACAATCACAACCGAAACAACAACAAAATAAGAGAACTATTTATATGTTTGTATCGCTGTGTGAACTGGCTCAAATGGATTGAATTACGGGCGATTTCTTCACTTTTTTTTCCTCTCATTACACCTATATCAACTTTTATTTCTCTTCTCGGGAATCGCTGGGACGTGACTGTAGATGGAGATCCGACGTGGCGATAAAACGTGGCAATCTCCATCCAAAAACAACAACAACACAAAAAAAACGATGGATGGACGATGTTGTCCAAATGCGTGGATGAGGGAATCGACTCTCTTTTCCTCCCAACTGACACGACGTGACCGGCTGCAGTCGAATTAGAAAGTCTTCGACCCGTCGATCGAAACAATTGCCAATATCTTCCAAACAATCGCATTGCAATTTCAATAACGTCGTTGTTTCCTTTTTTTGTATCTTTGTTTTCTGCACGCTTTTCCGGCATCAGAGGTTAATACACGTATTTCTGTATTCGGGGTGAAACACATAACATCAACAACAAGTCCAACGTTTTCATTCCTTCCATAAATGTATGCAAATTCGTTCTTTCTTCAAGTGAAATTGGTACTCATTTTAATAAAACGTAGATTAATCATAGCTTCTATAACTTTATTTTCGTAACATTTCTTCATTCTTGAAGACAATTTTGTACTTATTTAAATGTTTCAAACTTCATTTTGTAAATTATTCAAATATATAAATATTTCAACAAAAAAAATGGAGAAATTTTTGTTTCTATTGAAATTTTAACTAAAAATTTGATAACTTTACTATTACTAATTAATTAATAAAGATAGTTAATTTTTCGTAATTATAAATATAATACTTAAAGTATGTACAAATATAAAAAAAAATCTTTGTAATTTGTATAAATAAATATTTTTTTGTTATATGATTTATTGAATCTTGAAGTTCGTAATGAGAAATCACTTTACGGTTCAAACAGTTGAGGAAACAGCTTTAGCAGCGAAATGGATTGGGTTTAAGTATCGTCGTTTCGTGATTTTATGTGTGCGTATTCTTAGATTTTACTTTGAAAATGAAACGATAATTTCAATTGAAACACACGCAAAATGAACATACAGACCGCAGAATCGATTTGCGAAAATTTAATTTGAAAAAAAAGTTGCATTTGGCAAGCGATTTTACGACCAAAGATAAAAAACGATTTCATTACATCCTCTTCATTGTTTTCATATTTTGTTGATGCAGTTTTTCTTTGATTTCTATTCCTTCATATATAGATGGTAAAGAGAATGATGAAAAAAAAAATCATAAAGTTGATGAAAACGATATGAATTATGAAGATGATAAAAATCAACAAGATGATGAGGATTAATGAAGAAGATGATGAAGAGAATGAGGACGATGAAGTTGGTGAAGAAAATGAGCTTGAGGATGAGAATTATGAAGATGAAACTTCAAAATAAGACTCAACCAAACGACAAAGGAAATGCAACTACACGCTAAAGAGTATAAGAAAACAAAAACAACGTTTTTGCTAAAATTATACGTTTCGGAAATTGCTGAAACTCTCGTCGTCTTTGTCTCTTTCACAAATGTGTGTACATATATATTTCACATTCTTCTGGTTGCACTTTAAATGCAGACTTTGTAGATTAGTTTAAGTGCTTTCGAGCTTTGATTCATGTTAAATTGCACAGTGGGAAACATGCCCAATCATGCTCCCATTGTTGATTTCCATTCCAACCGTTTTACCTATTTTGCCTTGTCTTTCTTTCGCATTGCAAACGGATAATTTGCAAATAATCGTTTTCACTTTTTTTTGTTGTTGTTGCAAACATTCAATCCTGAGATGTTACAACAAGCGCGCAATCAGTTTTAAGTAAACTAAATCTCGCGAGTCAACAATACGAAGATATAAGAACTATTCAAATATTACATAAGCATAGCTTCTATGAATTATTTTATAGTTAGATTCTTAGTAAACGTTTTCTTCTTCATTCTAATTACACATTAATCTAGCTTTTTATTGCAATTTATTACATAATTTATTAAGAAATTCAATGCTTGATGCTGGATATTATTTGCATATTGATAGCTTAAGTAAATAGGGAAGATATTTATAACAAATTCACAAATTTAACTTAATTTCAGTAATAAAGCCATTTAG